TACGGTATTGTTTACGTGATTTCGTATTATTTTTTTTAGATTTAATGAGCTAACAGGTAAACGCCGATCAGATGGTGAATTGAAATTATCTTGGAAAAGAATGAAGTTGTGTGCTAAATCAAACTTATACACATATAGGAGGGAACAATCAAAGACCGGGGGTGGCGGAAAACCTCCATCACCTTCTCTTGAGGACTTGGAAATAATGTCCATTGCCCCTCACGACTTTATCGTTGAAGTTAATAATTATGATAGTGATGCAGTGGTAAATAAAATTACTTACATGTCTTACAAATTTAATTAAAATTAAAGAACTTTATTTTCCATTACTTTAGTACCTAGGTAGTGCTCTGAAATCTACTCTTAAAGCATACAATTTACAATCCAAAATTATTTTCCGAATATTCAAAATTTAATATACTTAGTAACAATTTAACATAAATTCCTTTATAATTAATTATATTCAAAATTGAAATGTCACAAATTCATATATAGTGGTCTATATAATATCATAACACACATTTTACTAGATTATCTACACAGTCCGATTATAATTTTCTATTAGGTATTATAATTAATAATTTATTAAATTACCTTTTGTCTTGGATCATAATAATATTTCTACAACATAGAAAATACCTGATTCAATAAAGGGCAAAATAGAGATGACAGGTGACAGGAAAACATGTTAATAAATGTTTTAATGATTTATTTTAGGATCCAGTGACTGTGGCTACAACATCAAAAGAAGTTGCTGACCCTAAGCCTCGCCTTAATTTTGAAAAAACAGACACAGCTATAGTTAAAAATGTAGAAAATCCAGAACCCAATGTTGTATATGTGCAAGGTAAATAATACTGATTGAATATTTATTAAAAAGCAAAATATATTATTATTATAGTTACAATCATATGCATACAAGTTTGTAAATATTATAAATGTTAATTTTCTAAAACTGTTATATTTATATTAATTTTTAGAGATAGATCCAACTACAAATACAGAAGAAAGTGCCAAAATGGTGAAAATAACCAACAATAAAGATATTATTACTAGGGGTATAACAAAAATTAAAAACAGGAAAAATAGCTTGCAAAATAGGTATGTTGAAAAAATTACATAGTCTGATACATTACATACTTTTTAAAATGTGAAAATTAGTATTTAAACACTGAAAATTGTTTCATGTTTTCAAATATTAAAAGCAAAGTTTAATATGAATTGATTTAAAAATAATTAAAAAATATTTCTTTAATTGGTGTACAAGGTTAAGTGCACTTTTATTACTCTAGAATACTTTGTAAATTTCTAAAATAACTACAAAACTTACATTAAGTATTCCATTTCATTTTACAGAAGAGAAGATGTACACCAAACAATTGTAAAAAGTAACACAGATTTTAAAAAAAGACAACTGGAAATGATGGAAGAGGAACATAAATACAATATTAAAATAGCTAACCTAAAAATTAGAAAATTAGAGTTACAAATATTTTTATTAGAAAGTCAGAAAAACACAAGTTAAATAGCAGCTTAATGCTGCTGTGTTTATTATGGTGAGTTTATAGAATGAAAATAGAATAGAATGATTTTTATTAAATATAGATTATTACAGAATACTTATTGAAAGACATTTTTTATTTACCACTGGTTCGGAAAATACCTCAGTCCTGGGAAGAACTAGTAAGAAACCCAGCGGGACTTTTTTATAAACATATTTCTCTTAACAATAATTTTATTTGTACAATTTTTAAATGAATTTTAATAGAACCACCATGGTGGCGATCACCTCAATTCCAGTATTTCCAATATTCTCATTTATGTATTCTTTGATATTATAATAACCTTTTTATAAAATTTTTCTTTAATAAAACATTTAAACTTGTTTATTGACAAATTTTGGATAAATTTTTGTACAAATTTTGTATGAGAGAGACCTCTTTTACAGGAAACGAGGCATTCCATCTTACTCCACACGGGTGACAACGCATCTGCATTTTGATTTGTAGTCGAGGATAGATGTGGACGTCTATGCACCACAGCAGTTACTTAACATCAGATGGACTGTGTGTGTGTATGTGTGTGTGGTAGACTGTGTTTTATCACCATTATCCTATAAAAAAACTAAATATTTGAGACTATATCAGATACATGTTTGTAAATATCCTCATATATGAAACAATTATTTTCAGGTACTAAATTGCTGCAAATATTTGTACATCTTTTATTAATAATTAAAATAAATAATTATAATTAATATGCATTTTATTTACATAACAGTGAAATATAATATACAATAGTAAAAAACTATAATAAAAAAAACTAAACCTAATTACTTAGTCATCATACAGTCCTACTCCCCGTGGACCCGTGCACCTCTGGAAAGGAAATCCGGCTGTGAATGTAGAGGAGGGACGATATTTATTAAAAAATCTAAACATATCTCTAAAGCACTTAAATCTTTATATAATATAGCTTCATATTGATGTGGAATGTGCTGTACCCCGCATCTTTCCCTGAAACACAATCATTTATAGCCTAAATAAAAGCATTTTGCTCAATAAATGAAATATTATCACAATACTACCCTGAATTTATTTCATATTGGTGAATATGTAGTCGTTATTCTTTGACAGCTGACAACGGCTCTGCAGAAATATTTTCCTTTATAAATGGGTATTATCTCTGAAATCAAAAAGAAATATTATTATAATTGTCTTATACATTTATTGATCCTTAATGTAATTTTATAGCCAAAATTGGCCTCTGAATAACAAAATAAAATAAATTATATATACATAGCTTTAGACAATTGAAAAAAAATTGACAATTTTATAAATATAATTATTAATTTTAATTATAAATAGCTATATAAATATGTAAAAAAAAAATGTTTACCTACTGAAAATGAGTTTCAATAAACTGTCTTCTTCTAATATTTCCCCTTATTGATGGTGCAATATATCTTTGTACTATAGGTTCAGATGAATATTGTTCAATGCTATCTCTCTCACCAGGAAACACATCTTCTCTCATGTCGATGGCCATATTGTGTAGTACAGCACATGCAACAATTGTTTTTTTTGCTGTTTCAATATCTCCAAACATACCTCTTAATAGGCAACGAAACCGTTGCTTCCACAAACCAAAACATCTTTCCACTGTGTTCCTGGTACAGATATGGCTCCTATTATATCTTTCTTCTTGTGGTGTTGTGGGGTTCAGCAGCGGTGTAAATAGGTAAGGGGTACAAGCATAGCCACTGTCACCAAGTAATATTCCAGAGAATGCACCAGCCTCAAACCTCTGTTTTAGTCTACATTCTCGGAATATTCTGGAGTCATGTACACTACCACGCCACCTGGTAACAATGTCCATGATTTTCAGGTCAGCGTCACAAACCACCTGTAAAATAAGAGCTCATTAGTACTTTATGTTTTTCTGGTTTATTTTAATATATATTTATTACCATAAGATAGTCAAACAAATTATTTTCTATTATGATAAAGTAAAGTTATTAAGAGACAATCACAGCTATTTAAAATATTTGTATATTACCTGTACATTAATTGAAGAAAATCCTTTTCTATTAATATATAACTGACCCCCATCAGCATTCACTTTCTTTACTCGTATGTGAGTACAGTCAATTGCGCCAATTACTGTAGGAAAATTAGCAATACTGCGAAATTTCCTAATGGTTTCCTGCTGTTCATTTAAAGTAGTAGGCATTTTAATAAATTCTCAGGGCTTCCGTGACAAAATTTCCGCTACTTTTTTACATGTCCTACTTACTACTGGTTGAGACACACCATGTAAATCAGCTGTATCGTCTTGAATCTACGAATAAAACAATAATATGTATTATTTGGCTTTTTATCTAGCGTAATGTTAGGTACATTGACCCCACCAAGATTATAAACAGCACTTACTTCATGGCGAGCCCAGTTGCGTAATGCACAAACCACTTGAATTTCAGGACTCAATGGGCATCCTCGAGGGTCGTGCACTAAATCCTCACGTAAGATACCCACTATTTTTTCTCCGAAACGTTTTGAGAACCTATACTTATACCTAAAATCTTCGTCACTCAATTCATACGGATTCACACGATGTCGATGTCTATCAGGTCGCCGAGTGGTGTCTAGCATGTCCAAATCTTCTAAATCCATCAAGTCAATCATGTTAATATCCATTTTTAACGATTTTAATAACACCAAATGAAAACAACGCTCACCTCAAATTAAGAAGTACCGAAATTGAGGTTAGTATAGAGTACCACAAACTATATAGAAAGGTTAGTACCATAGCTAAACTAGGGGTCTCGAAAGATTAACTTTAATACCATAGATAATCCTTGAACCAGAGATAATCTTCGTTTTGTAATAACGTTTTTCTTAGTTTATGGTTTAAATATATTACTAACTCCAGTACTATATTAAGTCCGTGTTTTGGAATAAGGCGGTAATGGTCTAAGCTTAAAATAAAATATAACTCAGACATAATATAAAAACAAACTTCCGTTCACATTCTAGAATTATAAAAATAAATTATATATAATCATAGATAAATAAATATGTAGCTAGCTATATATAATAATGTATGTAAAATATCTTATATCTTTAATTCTTTGATCACATTGATTTAACAAAATTATAAAATTAGTTTTAATAAAAATGAACGTATCTCATAGAATGTCAATACCCTTCACAAATTCATAACTAAAGAGTTTATCTTTGTTCTTGTATGAATTTACAACAGAATGCTGCATTACGATTGGTTCCTTTTTGCATGGAAAAATGATTTAGCCAATGAACTCAGTGTGATATTATGAAGTAAAAGGTTTAAGAAAACTAAATGAAGTTTTGATTCTCTGTTTTAATGTTTTTACAATTTCCCGCCGTTTGTAAATAAAAGAATTAGATTTGATAATTTAATTGAATAGTATTTTTCAACAACTTACATTTAATATTATAATTGAATAATATATTGTTAAGAAAATGGGAGTAAGTATTTTATAACGTATAACGCTATTACTTTACTGTATAAATATCGTTAATTCCTTCGCATTTGTTGTTCAATAATCATAACATGAATACTAAATAACTTTTATATTAATAAAGTGAACAACGTGTTAAATATCTGAGGGTAATTCTTAACAGATTAGTGTCTACTGAAGCGCATGACTAGCGTTGTCTACGTACATACCTCTGAAGAGTATCACGGAATGCCTTTCCGTTACCAGTCACATGAGCTCTCCATATCCTTAATACTCCTCTACATATCCATAATATCCTTAATAATTAAACTATAACCGGTATAGAACAGTGCAGTTCACTGCTGCTTGGTGGCATGCACTTAAAGATCTATGTAGAGGAGGAGATATTCCTTGGAGATTATTTAAAAGTCCATGTGATAAATTCGTAACAAGCCAGCCGAATATGAGTAATTAATATAGCACAACAACCTGTCGAGATGAACTCCTAGGTAAAAACATGCTCTACCACCTAATCTCACTATTTTTATTTCCTTTAAATTTGTTCTAGAAAAAATCTACAGCTTCTGTTGCCAAAAGTAAGGAAAAGCGACAGGCGAGGAAGCTAGAACAGCGTCGAATAGCAGATGGAATGAATTATGTAAATTTGGCAAATAAGTTAACCGACTTAGCATCTCTTTGTAAAGAATTATTGGTGTTTCAAAATAATGATATGGAAGTGGACATGTACATACAAAGGGTAACTGAACTTGACAAGAATGTGCTAGATTGGGCTATAAATTTAACAGAAAAAAATATGAAAAAACTGTAAGAACTTTATTAATTCTCCTTTTATGATTTAGATATGTGGTTTGAGGTGATATGTACAACATTATACATACATTTGAAATACACCTAATCACTACCCAGCAAGAGAAAATGTAATTTAGACCATTTATTGATTGTTTGCACTTTATATTATAATTACACAAAAGAGTGTTTTGCCACAAATTACATATTGAACCGAGATGTAGTCATTCACAGTTGTCTGTTTGAAAAACTCAAATTTACTCAAAGATTCCTTGAGACACAGACCAGACCAGAACAGAAAAAGAGTAAATGACATTTTTTTTTGTAGGAATAAGGGTGCCAAATGAGTACTTAGTTCACCTGATGGTAAGTGGATGCTGTAGCCCATAGACATCTCCATTTATCCTCAATAATAAAATAAAATTGCAGATGTAAAGAAATGACAGCCCAATGCATTAGGAGGCTAAAGTGACAATGGGTTGGTCAAATTGCTTGAAGTACTGACAATGGTATTTTAAGTGGCAGCCTGCAAGGCTTGGTAGCACATTGTAGGGCAATGAGTCCATAAAAGTAGATGGTTCAAGACCATACTTTAGGGCAATCGATGGGGAAGACCTATTTTTATTAATGGCCTAATGATGAGCTGTGTGATGATGATGATCAACTTCCATAATTCAAGTAATTGGTCTGTAGCTTTTCAGTGTAAAAATATGCACTACCTACCCCATATCGTCCTGTGGGTGCCATAAGATTCGACAGGGAGTAACTAGTCAGGATATTATGGGCAGCAGTCTACGTAATAATAATGAAGATTTAAAAAAAAAACTGCAGTTGCCAACTCGCTTGCCAACCATGGTAACTAAGGCAAATATGATGCAATTTATGGTGGGAAGCTTATGTTCAGTTGTGAACTTTAGATAGGCTGTAACAGCAATGGTAATAGATACGAAACAATAATTGGCGATGAGAAAAAAAAATAGTGATAAGAAACTCAAAAATTTGGGAAATAAGAAAAGGAGTTGAGCAAGTAGAGTTTGTGTATTTAGGATGCTAAAGATATTACCTAAGATCTGAGTAAAAATAAAATTTTTGTGTCTTACCTAGTTTGAAGAGGTTTGAGGGATGGCTGGAGGTGATCTTCAAACTTGGTAAGACACATCATTTTTATTTTTACGATTTTATTGTAATGGATTTCTGCAAAGTAATGCCTGATACAATTAATTTTTAAGTTGTATATTTAGCAGGGATGGTAGACATGACATGGATATAGAAGGAAGAGTGAATGAAAACATTCTTCAGTGGGAAGTTATAATGTGTCAAAAAGCATGTATGGCAATTCACAATGCTGTGTTAAAAATTAAAGTTACAGCCTATATATGTCCCACTGCTGGGCACATGCCTCCTCTTATTTCTGAGGGAGTTTTAAGGCAAGGAAATGTCCGCAGAGGTGCAACAATGTGTGTTGGCGAATTTCACATGTCTGCGAAATATTTTTTTCTTATTTCTCAGACATGCAGGTTTCCTCACGATGCTTGCCTTCACTGTCGAGCATGTGGTAAATCAGCACTTAAATTTGTAATTAACAATTTCACCGGCACCAATGCAATTGTTCAATTGGGCGTACTGTGAAATTAGCGCCAGTCCCTTAATAATGGTATAACTTAATGTATGGTACTGAAAATTGATTTTGACAGAAGAGGCATGACAGTACAATTAATACGGCTTAGAGGTGACTCAATAATAGGGTAAGAGATTGTATGGTAAAAGAAAGGTATGGTTTGCAAGATGTTGTGACTTGTGACCAAGTTTATAAAAATAATGCTTTAGTGGAGAAATTGGCAGGGGATATCTTAGGTGGAGGCTTATCAACTAAATCGGTAACATATTAAAGATAAGCCAAAGTAAGAGTACCCTTAACCAACGAGGATGTATGCATACATATGTGGAGCTCTGTATTTCTGCCTACCCCTGACAGGTATAAGAGAGTTTATGTATATGAATTACAACTGATTTTTGCCTCTACATAAGTAAACATAATAAAATACACACTAATATTTTTGATTAGTTACTAGTTGGTACCTGGCACATTGCTGCCACAAAAGAAATAAATGTGGAATATAATTTAAATTTGGAAGAGTTGTATTGTTTAATTAGGATTTTTAAGTTGAATGATATATAAATGTTTTGCCTTATTTAAAACATTTAGGCAAAACATTTAAATGTTTTAAATGAGGTCAAACATTTATATATCAGAATCGGGAAAGGGACGCCCTAGGCGAAAGTTTATCGACCAAAATGGTGATATATTGAAAATGGGCCAAATCAAGAGTACCTTTAACCGACGAGCGTGTATGCGTAGGTATATGGATGTAGAGGAAGCTAGAGGGGTGTGTCAGGATCGTGTCAAATGGAAGTCCAGTCTCTGCCTACCCCTCTGGGTGACAGGCGTGAGTGTTTATGTTTTTTTTTTAGATATATAACTTTCAAATAAATTTGTTGTTGCTATATGCGCGCCACCTACTGTACGTTAATTGTTCTATGCCTATAGCCTTCGCTCAAGTGCAAGCAATAAGTTGACAAAGTTTTACCACAATCTGATGAACGATTTGACAGCGAATAAAATATGAACAAACAAAAATTATTTTTTATATATTAGATATTAATTAATTGTCTTGAGTTGTTATATCAAACAAACTTATTCCCAATATAATTGTTAGGTGCCAAAGATTTAAAAGGCTTTCTTTAAAACACGCTTGACGCAAAATGTGGTAATGAAACTTTTTCTATTTTACTACTACTATAGTCATAACATGGTTGTGATTTGTTTTTTATGTTTGTATATTACTCTTTTATAAACAGATATGAAACATGCGCATGGGGGTGGAATCGTGAGCGTAAAGTTGAGGAAATGACTGATGACTCTGCATGGTACCTCATCGCAAGAGAAAAGAAAGGCAAGCTGCTGGCATTCTCACATTTCAGATTTGATATGGATTTTGGAGAACCAGTATTATATTGGTGAGTCTTGTAAATATTTATATTTATCTATAAACGTAATATCTCTAGATCACAATAAACTCTAAAAGCTCTAACAAGGTAGCAGTGAAAAGTAAGCAGTAACCATTGAAGTATGCATGAGAATTTGTTGTGTTTAACAAGTTGCTAAAAACGACATTGTTTCTCAAACTAGTTCTACAAATAACAAATTACTGCTATTTTATATTAAGCTAGCAGTAAAAATAACGAAATCAGTGATTATTGAATCAAGTGGTATGTCAAAATTTGCTGCTAATCTATTGCTGGGAAACTGTGTAAGAAAATTACGAAACTCCAAGAGTTGGAAACAACTGGCAATTGCTAGCCAAGCACCAGTGTATACCATACCACGATAATACATGTTGTTTTTTTTTTATGAAAAAGATGCAGTAATAATAGAATATAAAGGTAAAAACTCGGCTTCACCTGGCAACTGGTAGCAATTAATAGAATCAGGCGTTACTTTGCGAAAATCTCAATAAAATAAAGTGTTCTTATTGAGCGGATATTGGCAAAGTAAGTTTTTCCTGGTAGTTAACTTTAACTGGTAGCAAACTAGCAGTATACGAGGGCGACACTGAAAGTTTTTAGAACTGGCCACTTGTAAACGATATAATAAAAAAATTTAAAATTATTAAGAATAATTTATAAGAAAAAATTAATAAGAATAACTCAAAAACTAATAGTCAGACCTTGATCAATTTATATGGGACCGACCACGTGTGAAGCATCAGCTTTCAAATAAAAAAAGAATCATCGAAATCGGTTCACCCTGTAAAAAGTTGTGACGTAACACACAAAAAAAGAATATACAGTCGAATTGAATACCGTTTTCTTTTTGAAGTTGGTAGAAAGCTACTAGACAATCGCTTTTAATTTGTTTTTAGGTTACTGTGATATTCAATTGTTAATTTCTCAGTATTCCCATTAGATTTTTTTTTTTTTTTTTTTTTTTTTTTTTATAGGAGAGGGGGCAAACGAGCATGCGGCTCACCTGATGGTAAGTGACTACCGCCGCCCATGAACAACCGCAACACCAGGGGAATTGCAGATGCGTTGCCGGCCTTTTAAAAAGGAGTAGGCTCTTTTCTTGAAGGTCCCTAAGTCATATCGGTCCGGAAAAATCGCTGATGGTAATCGATTCCACAAGGAAGTCGTGCGAGGAAGAAAACATCTTCTAAATCGCACAGTGGTGGACCGCCAATCATCCAGATGGTGTGGATGGTATCGGGAGTTCTGCCGCGATGTGCGTTCATGAAATTTGGCGGCTGGGATTAATCCGAACAATTCCTCAGAGCACTCCCCATGGTAGATGCGAAAGAAAATGCAAAGAGATGCAACATCTCTTCGCAGTGCCAATGAATCGAGCCGATCGGAAAGGGCTCGGTCGTCGACGATTCGAGCCGCTCTGCGCTGGATGCGGTCAAGTGGAAGGAGCTGGCACTGGGGAGCCCCTGCCCAGAGATGGGAACAGTATTCCATGTGAGGCCGAACCTGCGCCTTGTAAAGTTGCAGGCGGTGTGCCGGCATGAAATACTGTCCCGCTCTGCTGAGCACGCCAAGCTTTTTAGAGGCCAATTTGGCTTTCTCTTCCAAGTGACCATGAAACTGCACGTCACTCGATATGTCGACTCCGAGGATACCGATACTGGCTGAGGCAAGAAGGGGAGTGCCTTGAAACTGAGGAGATACGACAAAGGGGTTCTTTTTAGCGGTAAACGCGCAAACTTGTGTCTTCTGAGGATTAAACTGGACTAGATTTAGTCGCCCCCAATCCGAGACTTTGTCCAGCAAAGACTCGACTTCAGACACAAGTTTGTTCCGGTACTCGGCGACGTTTTCCCGAGAAATATTGGCCCGGCCGGTGTATAGAGCATCACCAGTGCTGTCATCCGCATAGCAATGAATGTTACCAGTTAGCAACATATCATTGATATGCAGAAGAAACAGCGTTGGTGATAGCACACAGCCTTGTGGAACACCAGCGTTAATAGGCTTGTAGTCAGAACATGCACCGTCTACAACGACCTTGATGCTCCGATCTGCAAGGAAGCTGGTGATCCAATTGCACAATTTCTCGGGAAGCCCATAGGAAGGGAGCTTCGAAAGAAGCGCTTTGTGCCAAACCCGATCGAAGGCCTTCGCAATGTCCAGACTAACGGCCAACGCCTCCCCCTTGGACTCTACTGCCTCCGCCCATCTATGGGTCAGGTAGACTAGAAGATCACCAGCTGATCGACCCCGACGAAAACCGTATTGGCGGTCACTGATCAGCTGGTGATCCTCAAGGTACCGGATGAGCTGGCAGTTAATAATGGATTCCATTATTTTGGAGAACAAGGAGGTGATCGCGATAGGCCTATAGTTGGACGGGTCTGAGCGGTCGCCTTTTTTAGGGATCGGGTGGACAAAAGCTGTCTTCCATGAGTTCGGGACAACGCCATGGGAGTAGGAGTACCGGAAAAGACGCGTTAGAACCGGTGCCAACTCCGGAGCACACGTCCTCAGCACAATTGGGGGGATTCCGTCAGGCCCACTCGACTTGTGGATGTCAAGGGAGAGGAGTGCTCTGCGAACCGAGCGCTGTGAGAACAGCACATCCGGCATAGAGCACTCACACCGCGGGATGGTCGGCGGTGTGTTCCCCCCGTCATCAACAGTCGAGTTGGACGCAAAAAGGGAGCCTAAAAGGTCGGCCTTCTCTTTTGCGTCGTGGGCCAGTGAGTCGTCCTCCCTGTGCAGAGATGGTAGTGATGGCTTACAGAAATTCCCTTGGACAGCCTTGGCGAGAGACCAGAATGCACGGGTTCCCGAAGGAAGGCGAACTAGTTTCTCGCCAATTCTGCCTATGTGCTCTGACTTTGCCTTGGCAATAACTCTTTTGAAGGACCTGGAGGCGAAGTTATACTTCTTTTTAAGTGTGCTGGTGTTTACATCCCGAGTCACCGAAGCCGCAGCCCAGGCTTGATAACACTCCTGCTTTCTGCGCAATGCAGTCTTACAGGAGCGACCAAACCAAGGCTGAGACCTGCCTCCGATGGGTACCACAGATGATGGAATAAATAGTTCCATTCCCTGTAGCACCACATCAGTGACAGAGTCAGCAACAGCGCTGGGATCATCCGGCGAGAAGCAAACCCGCCCCCATGGGTAGGATGCAAAGAAAGACCGCATTCCGTCCCAATCCGCCGACCTGTAATGCCAAACACGGCGGCAACCTGCAGAACGCAACCGCGAAGGGAGCGTGAGTGGCACCATACTCCGGATCAGACAATGGTCCGAAGAGCCGAGAGGGGCATCGACGGAAACCTGATATCCGTCCGGATGAGAGGTCAGCAGAAGGTCCAACAGGGAAGGTGTATGATCCTCCACATCTGGAATCCGCGTAGGCGAAGTAACCAGTTGTGTCAGACCATATGCCAAAGCAAAGTCATAAACAGATCTCCCCGCATGATCGGTTAAACGTGAACCGAGCCATTCGGCATGGTGGGCGTTAAAATCGCCAAGGATCACGATCTCTGCGGATGGGACCTGTTGTAGCAAGGAATCTGTAGCCATTTGGACGTGGTCGATGAGTCGGTCTGTTTCGGCATTACCGCTATGGGACCTATAGAGGCACCCGTAGACGCGCGGATGGTCGTCGCTGTCTACGCGTAGCCAAAGGATGGACAGGTCCGAACCTTCAAGACTGCCGAGGCGTCGAGAACAGATGTCCTCTCTGACATACACGCAAACTCCAGCCCGAGGCACAAAGGAGTGCTCCAATTTGTACCCCGGGCAGGAGAGATACGAAATATCAGCCGGAGAGGAAACCTGCGTCTCGGTCAGAAAGAGCAAGGCCGGCTTCGCCGTCTCGAGATGGTAGTGGACGGCGTTTAGGTTAGAGTGAAGTCCCCTGATGTTGCAGAAATTCACGGATAGCGTGGCAGGGGTCGCCTTGGTATTGTTGCTCAGTTTGCCCCAAGCAGTTTTGTTTTTGAGCGGAATTTTGCCCCCCCCAGAATACGCGGGGCAGCCTGAGCACCCACGCTCAGGATTGGAATAACATGGTCGTGGATGCTCAGCGAGGGATTCTCCAGGGGTACTGGTACCCTCCTGGGGTAGTCTACTTTGTAATTCCGCTACCATGTTGATGGGGGGGGGGGGGGAATTGGGCCTCCGGCCACCTGCACTCACCAGACGAAACGCAGAAGCAGAGCCTCTACTTCACGCCGGTATTCTGTGAGGTCGTGGTACCAACCCGGCTCGAGCCTGCCCATACGTGCAACAGCAAAAAACTGCTGCGGGGCTCTACCACCGTTGAGGTAAAACTAATATTATATCATAATCTATAGATTATAAGAAATTAATCGACATGCATTTCATCAAGTTACGCCACAATTTATGGTGGACCCATTCTTTTTACAAAAGGAAATTTGTATCAGTCTGCAGAGCAATATATTATTCCTGTAGGTTGTTACACCTTTTTTTTATTACTGGAAAAGGCATTCCATCTTAGTCCTCACGGCTAATAACGCATCTGCATTTTGATTCGCAATTGAGGATAGATGTAGATGTCTATGGGCCACAACAACTACTTACCATCAGGTGGACTGTGTGCTCGTTTGTCACCTTATCCTATAAAAAAGAAAAAAAAAGAGCAGCCAAATTTTACACTCATGCAGTTTTTGAAAATACGAGTAAATAAGGCTTCTACTTTTATTTGAAACTAACCCAAATTGAATGTGATTTATAGGCAACGTTTTATAACGGCCCATATAAATTTGATCAATGGTTTTTGAGTTATTCTTAATAATTTATATGGAAGTCGGTTGAACAAAATTTTTAATATTAATTATCACTGGTATTATAAGTTAGAATAGTGCACTGGTTAATAATTAATAGTATAAAAGAAAGTTTTAGGTACTTTCCGCATTTATAGGCACTTTAAAAGATTGTTGGAAAATCCTTTTGGAAGTTCGTTTTTCGGCTCACGCTTTTTTTTTTCAGATTTTATGATTCCCGTTAAATTTTTGTAAGATCTCTAGGCCGTTCACTGTAATAAATTAGTATATTTTTATGTGTAACTAGCTGTTCCCCGCGACTTCGCCCGTGTGGTATTTGGAATTTTGATTTTTTTGCGCGGAACCCTAATTATTTATCTTAAATAAAAGTAGCCTAAGTTACTCCTTGTGACATCAGCTATCTGCCAGTGAAAATCCTGTCAAAATCGGTCCAGCCGTTTCGGAGATTAGCCGGAACAAACAGACAGACAGACAAAAAATTTAAAAATTGTATTTTTGTTATTAGTGCCGCATATACTTTCTTTACATATGTATTAAGTAAAAAGCTGTAATTTTGACATTACAAACAGACACCTCAATTTTATTTATTTTTATAGATAAAATTGAGTTACGTTAAAATTTCTAGTGGTCCCAAAACGATTGTCTCCTTTAGATCACGGCGGCTAGTCTCAATCTCCGCAGGACCGGATTATAGTGCACGAGTGAGTGCACATGCACAGGTGCACTCTGTATGTATCGCCCTCATTTATGGGACGGCAATCCGACACGTCCGAAAAGGTCAGGCGTACGGCCAATGACGTTTACGTGATGTAAGACACGGGGGTGAAACTAGAGATACCATATCTCAGAATTTGTCCTGAAAAAGTCCTCATACTTTTTGGCTTTTGTCAAGATTACGGTCGGATTTTATAAACGTCAGGATTTTTCAATTTTTCAAAAAGTACAGTAGGATTGGGATGTAGGTAATTTCCGACGTGGATTGATCGCGAGAGTGCATAAAAATCAATAATTAATTGTCCTTTTTTCACGGTGTTAATTTACGTTTGCAACAAAATGTCGGGACTTTTCTAGGCAGATCAGATTATTTGTCAGTACTTTTCAATTTACCGTATGGTAACCCTAGGTGAAACACGTAAACGTCATGATTCCGGACTACTTTACTAGTTTTCTCGACACAAAATCCACTAACAAAATGAGGGCATCCACGACTTTTTCTGCCACCAGGGCGGCGCCACTTTAGAGTAAGGTAAAATATTTGACAGATTTCATAGCGGGGATGATAATTTCTTAGAAAAATGTAATCTTTAAGGTTTCTTTATGTATTATTAGTTATCTTTTATATTAATTACATTAGAAATGAATAAACCAAACTATAAATATAACTAAAAGACGACTTTAAAAAAAAAAGAGTTATAATGTGCAAACAATTAAAAATCAAACCACTGACGCATTGTGTTGTGTATTAATATAATAGTCTAGATAATGATAAACTATTATTTAAAACTAATTTCTCAATTAACTGACATTGTGTAACAAAAAAATTTACCTCAGTCACAACTAGCGACATCTGGTGAGTGGAAGATTATTAGCCCTCATTGCCCTAAATGTTTCTTGCCCACTGGGATAACATGACAATAAAGATATCACAAATATCTTACAAATTTATTATTTACACATTTACATAACTTTGAACCTATCGCTTCAACATGTTTTAATTAGGCTTAAACTTATATATCCAAAATAAGCAATGAAACACACTTCTGTTCCGTCTGAACAATCTTTTCTCAAAGACAAGTTTCTCTTTCGGCCACCATCGAATGCACCTTCTACTTAGATATCTAAACAGTATATAGAGAATATAAACTGTGACTAATGTAACGGCTACACTAATTACTACTATATCTAATAATATATATTGTACAAATGATAAGTCTTGTGCTGGTGAGCGTAAATGGCTGGCGCCTTCGTGTCTCAGAACATATTCAATCCAATATACTGCAGTCTCTAGAGGTGGTAGCGGACGATCCAGGAACGTTTCTTTTAACTTCATAGAATTTTGCTTGTACCTGTAAAATATAAAATATAATTATAATATTATGAATACGACAAACATTTACAACGTGCACTTGTCGACTTTTGTATTTTTTCGTAATTAAATTAATAATATACCACGTGTTTGTTATATAATCATATTCTTGTATAGTCATCCAAATTTGAACTATGTATATTCAAAATTATCTTATCGCGAAGTTGGTTTAAAATCAATTACTAAATTCCACCAGAAACGACAGACAGACAAACAAGAAAGTGACTTAGTAAAAACGTCGTAAAAAGGAAACATTGTCTATCCAACATGAAAGAATTATAGTTTTGTATGGAATTTAAACTTATGAATGACTCAGTAGGACACCACGGACACGGAGCCACATGGTCGTCAATCATATTTTTTTTTATAGAATAGGGTGACGAACGAGCACACAGTCCACCTGGTTTAAGTGGATGCTGTGGCCCATAGGCATCTACATTTATCCTCAATTAAGAATCAAAATGCAGATTGCAGGTGAGTGTTATCACCCGTGAGGACTAAGATGGAATGCCTCTTTTCTAGTAAAAAGGGTCTCCGGTTCTCTACACTCACCATACGAAACATATTTTACGCTGGTATTCTGTGAGAGCGTGATCCTTCCCCGGTCGAGCCGACCCTTTCATGATGCAGCCATTATATAGTTGCAGCGTGGGTCTACCATGCTTATGTGCTCCAAAGTTAGCGACATTGACTATAAAAACCTGGAATAAAGCCTAAAAGAGATTATTAACAGTAAATTAAAGTTCGTGTTACATACAAGTATATTATGTAGAATCTATACAAATAAATAAAATTGAAGTGTCTGTTTGTAATGTCAAAATTACGGCTTTTTACTAAATGCATATGAAAGTATATACGATACTTATAACAAAAACACAATTTTTAAAATATTTGTCTGTCTGTCGGTCTGTCTGTCTGTCTGTTTGTTCCAGCTAATCGCTGAAACGGCTGGACCGATTTTGACGGGACTTTCACTGGCAGATAGCTGATGTCATAAGGAGTAACTTAGGCTACTTGTATTTTAAAAAAAGAATTAGGGTTCCGCGCAAAAAAAAAAACTAAAACCCCAAATAACACGCGGGCGAAGTCGCGAGGATCAGCTAGTTGTTAATAAACCTGCTAAAATTTATTAAATGAAACTCAAAAGGTTTTCAGCCAATAACTAAGTTAAAATTATTTTGATGCTGTTGTTAGAAATCAGTTGGAATACGCAAGTACACTACGGAAACTTATTAACTCTGTACGTACACTGTATTTACAGACAGAGACCGTCCAGCGCTCTTTCATTAGTCACTTTGCTTTGATAATATACTCTGGCTTTAATGATAGAAGACCTTAAGCCGAGTTGCCAACACAACAGTTGGCAACAAAACTTGAAACAATGTCGGGAACCGTGTTTCCATTTTCGGCGGCAACATCAAAGGAATACGCTTGTTACCACTTGTTGCAAACATTTATTCCCTCGGTGGAGACGCTTGTTGAAAACAGTTGGAAACAGTTGGAAACATAACTGTTGTCAACATTTTTGGTGGATACGCGGCTTTACAGTGCTTAACTTTCTTTCACTTGAGAATCGAATCCTTGAGATAGCGGCGAAATATTCACGATCTTATATTCCTACATAAAAACATATACAACATAATCTAATGTGAAGTACTGATAGAATAAAATACATTTGTAAACCATTAATTCTCATGATGGTCTATTAAAATATTATCAATAAATTACATACTCGTAAATTTAGAACAGATGTTGGGTAACATGGCTAACGTTCACCACATTATACTATGGTCAGTGCAACGAATATTTTGTTACCCCTGTGGACGAAGTCGGAATGACTCGTTTCCAATAAAAATGGTCTCCGGTTCCATACACTCACCATTTAAAACACAGCACCATTAAGCTCCTATTTTCCCTAATATTCTTTTACAGAATGCCCATAGTACATCCATAATATATGTAGATGCAGCATGGCTCTACCATTCTAATCATCTGCATTTTGATTCTTAATCAAGGATTACTGTAGATTTCTAAGGGCCACAGCAACCAATTATCTCATCTCATATCATATCTCATGTCATGACTTTTTGCTAGTTTGTCATCCTTATTTTGTATAAAAATGTAACTATTTTTATAATAGTACATTACGATACACGTTTTAATAATTGGTTACTTAAGTTCCGTGTATTGTACATTATTTTATAGTATATGTGACTTAAATCCACTTTTTTAATGAAAAATTGTAGAATAGTAAATGAATTTAAAGACAAAAATCGTGTCAAAGCGATCTAAAACATCAACATCATGTCTGAATGAAGAAGTTTTGTTAGTAAATACAGAGAATTAAAAAGTTTCAGTGCAAGAATTACCACGTCAAACTAAAGATTTAATTAAACGCGACCAAAGGTGAAACGAGACTCGATTTACAGAAGTTTTGTATGATCCAGATGTTGGCTTAGATGTTAATGATTTATCAAACCTGAATTCACAACGGTCTTATTTTTTAGCAATTGTAGTGTGACGGTAAATGGTAGTAATAGTAATTGTGTTTTTAATAATTGTACTTTAAAAAATAAAGTTCAAGCTAAAAATATACAAGAAAAAATACTTTATGTCAAGTATTTTATTATATCTTGGTCAAGTGATTTAATGTATTTTTTTTGTAATTTTAAAGTGTTCTAATAGATATTACTAATTAAAGTTCTGTTGTTCTGTATTTATTATTGTTTCTATAAAAGTTTAAAATTTTTAAAAATTTTAGAATAGTATACCTAAGCTTTATGCGTGACTTAAGTAAAACATACCGTACAATAATCGACTAGTTAAGTCCCACATGAGCGTGACTAAAACGTGGTTTTAAATCAGCGTGTACTATAAAATATTATTATTTTTTTATTATGTTTACTATTAAGAAATCAAACGAGCGCACGTTAGTTTCTGGTCAAATTATCGGCTGATACATAAAGAATGTTAGAAGTGCATTTTCATTAAAAGGTTATCTTGTCTAAATATATATGGTACTTTTGTTACTTCTTAGATAATAAAAGTGAACAGAGATACAAAAAGTACACTAAACACGCGCATGGATGGTGATTTCGATTTGGTTCATTTATTACTACAAACCAAAGATTATATGATATTATTCTTAATATCTTACAGACTTAATTATCTTAATTAAGATGCATAAATATTATTAATATATAGTGCTTAACTTGTGGAATTCATCAATCGGAAGATACACTTGCAATCTAAACTTACCTCAATATATGAGAAAAATTCATCTTTTAATAAAAATTAAAACCGACTTCGAAAACTAAAAATAAAATTTAATGTAGGTAGTATATTGTATAAAAGTGCACATTGAGTCTACCTCTATTTCTTTCAACTATCCTTTATTTATTTTCTGCTGGAAGAAATTTTAACATGGAAGCCTTTGTACATGTGCTCTTTTTACCATTTTCCTATCAAAGTATGTGTGTGTACATTAACTTTTAAATCAGTTAATAAATAATGTCCACATAGGTAATAAAGCCCCGCCTTCTGAAGCTATGTGGAAGAAGTTGGCTTTTTCTTTTTATAAGTTAAATTTTTACCCTTTTGAGTGGACTAAGCAATGTCAATAGCTCAAGGTAACAAATAGCATGTCGTCCAAATAGTTACTGTAAAAACTTTATTGTGTAGTTTTCCATTCGTAGTGGTGGAAGCCTTGAGGCTTTTTAATAAAAAAAGAATCGTATGGGTTCAGCCATTGACCTACTACAGTTCAATGGGTTCAGCACATAAAAACTTACGCGTCAAATTTAAAATCTTTTCCTTATTTGAAGTAGATTAAAGGTCTCTGTATTTGATTAACGAATGAGACTATTGTTCTAGAATGTATTTGCAATGCGTAAGCTTATACATACTTAAATGTTATTTTTAGTTATACTTTACTACTGCATACTGTGTACTAGTCTTCCGGCCGATTTCAACTTATTTATTCTGTGACCACTGCGATAACTTTTTTAATATCATAGTTATTCTATTTCTCGATGAAGTTTTAACATTGGTTGTTGTTAGCCTTGCACATACACATTGTGTTAGTGTGCGTAGGCCTCGGGAGCGATACTCCTGAGCGCACGCGGCCTACGCACACTAACACAATGTGCATATGCACGGCTAACAACAACCAAAGTCAAAACTTCATCGTGAAATAGAATCACTATACCAGTGGTAAACAACTGCGCAGGATTTAATGTTATAGTACCGTAGTAGTAGTAGTGAATGCACCTCCTTAACCTCTTATCCTTGCTTCCTATATATTGGAAACAAACTATGGTGCAATATCATTTACTAGGAGACGATTACAATATATCCCGCTCAAAACACAAGAGGACATGTTGTCAATTGCCTGTTAGTGGCTATGGACAAATTATACCCTTAAGTACAATAACAAATGAAACTCACTTAGGATCCGTAAGTAAATCGTGTAGGGCGTCCCTCCATGTTTCTTTGTTGGTTTCCTTTAGTGTGATGGTGCGGGCAACTCCGCGGTCTTGCATGGCTCGGCCATTGAGAGCCTGGTCAGCGTATAAAGGAACGGTTAGCATGGGCACCCCGCATGCAACTGCCTCTTGGGTTCCGAGTAGACCACCGTGTGATATGAATACTTTAATATTTGGGTGACCTGGTGAAATAAACACCATTGAATTCATCAATGTAAAATGTTTTAAACGATTAGATTAAAGGTAGTTTTGAGTGCAATATTTCTTTTTGCGCAAATGTTTGTACCACTCGGTAGTTTTTTTTTTAATAGAAGAACAGTCCACCGGATGGTAAGTGGATGTTGTAGTCTATAGACACCTACATTTATCCTCAATTAAGAATCAAAATGCAGATGCCTCGTTCCCCCTGAAGACAGAGGGAATGCCTCGTTTCCAGTAAAAAGGGTATCCGTTTCTTTACATTCACCATACGAAACACAGTAGCATTAAGCTGCTATTTTACGCTGGTTTTCTATGAGAGCGTGGTCCTACCTCGGTCGAGCCGACCCATTCGTGCTACAAACATATTATAACTACAGCATGGATCTACCACGTAAAGTTGCTCCAAGAATTAAGCTACGAGCTCCTAAAATAGTCAACTACTAGATATAGGATACCTCCCTTATTGAATCATCCATTCGCAAACGACCATTCAACAATTTGTAGGAGCGCATTTCAGACCCCTCCCAACCTTAATGTGTTATCTGATATGTTTATTCCGTGATTTGTCGGTCTCAAGATTCCTTAACGTATTTTTTTGCGAATTAGACTTGTCGGGTAGAATAAAATGACGTAGTCCCTACAATAATAATTATCCATTTGTAAATCATTAAATTAAATTCTTACAAAGTGTTTTATACTGCGGAATCCAGTCCATTGTGTACACATTATCTGGAACTGTGAGGTTTTTAGCAAGCATCCTCCTGTCCATTTTCACCAGCACTATCTGCGATAGTTCGGATATCACCTTAAATATCTGCACCAGCTTCTCGTTCGCGATTGTTTCTATTCTCGACATAGAGCCAAAACTCCAGTATATTACGCCATCATAAGACTCGTCCAACAGTGACTTCAACTCCTGATAAATAAACAAAATTTTCATCACTATAATAAATTGTTACCATTTCGTTTAAGAGCCATTTTAGCTCAGGAGATAACCACTAACCTAAAATTTTCATAGTTCATGGGCAACCCTATAGCAATTTTATTGTGTAGATAGATGATGAAAAACATCCTGAGGAAACCTGTATGTTTAAGAAATTAAAAAAAAAAACATTTTAAGGAGATACTCAGACTGCTAAATATTACCCTCTTAAGACTAAGAACCGGCTAAGAATAAACTGAGTGTATGGTATCTGCGTGAACGAACTTGAAAAGTGTTTCAATAATAATAACAGATATAACAATCGTAAATTTCAGTAAGAATGTTGATATTGAAATGTAAAGGTAGGTCGAAACATATTGCAACTGCGAAACACTGAGAGTAAGCAACCATTGCTGTATTTCGGCTTTAACAATATGGGTAATTCATTTGACATTATCGGCAGTATCCGATGGGTCTGAATTTGCTGGAATTTGCAGGTCGACGCGGTAGTCGGATTCCTTCTGCATTATGTATGTGGGTTAATGGTTATTTATTGTAATAGATTGCGTAATCCTAATGAAAGTATTCTATGCTTTCTGTTGCCACTGAATTATATTTATGTCTATTTAATACATAATATTTGTTACTTCTTTTTGTTTAAAGTTTTATAATTTAATTAAATAGATTTTTATGACCGTCTACACAAACAACATTTTATCAATATTGTATTGTGTAATGAACACGTGTCTACAACGAAACAGAGACCTTTATCAAAGACTACACAAGAAATTTGGACTCATAACATTAACTTTATTACACTACATTTTATCACTACATTGAATTTAGTAACCTAACTAGAATTTGGAAAAGGAGCATATCCCAAATGTATAGTAATAATATAATCGGATAGTAATAATTCATTAAATTGTGCAGATTGCCTTAAATAACTTGTAAAATCCGATAGCTTTCATATATTTATAAAGTGTTGATCTCTTAATAACAAATGTTTTTTCACTGAGCACCTTTTTACTGAGTTAGGATCTTAAATTCAGCGTAATGTAATCAGGAGCTTCAAATTCACCTGCTTTTTTCTAAATCCCAATGAGAATTCCTCAATTCAATGTAGTGTAATATGTTCTTTGTGAGTCAGCTTTTTCGATGGACTTGATATCACATTGTCTATCGAAGAGAATGAAGATGTCTAGAAACGGCTACATTATCCATTTAATCAGTGGGTTAATTTAATGGCTAGGCAGTCTAAAGACAGTACTTAATAGTTATGACTTGAGTGAAAGTTTCAGCTCAAAATTTATGTTTAACTATTATATCACATCAGGTGTTGACACCATCTTGGAAATGCTTGCTGACGCCGTATGGCAGGAAAAAAAAACATGCATGAGTGTTGTGGGACACTCGGTTGGAACGAAGTTCCTTTCGTAGTATATTATTATTGATAAACGTATTATATTATTGATTAACAAATACAAATAAATTAATTACTAGCGTATATTAAAATGAAGCGTCATGTAAAATAAAATAATATTTCTTGCATGGCAAGATAAGAAAAAGTGGATATTATTCCATCCCGCTTCCTTATAGTCGCCAAGGCCGTCAATACCACGTCAGAAGGGGACGTGACGGAAAAATCTTACACTTTTTCTCGCCTAGGCCCGATCCGCCAAATTCGTACCGTTTAACAAGGAACTGAACGGCGACTCTATCGCCGTATGAACAGCGCGGCGGTAGATAATATATTTACTATAATTATAACATTATACAATAATTTACGACGTGGTATTACTTCTTATATATACTCTTTTTCAACATAGGAGTCCGTTTTGGTTGGTACTACCATCTTAATTATTTCTGTCGCCAAGCCCTAGAGCACTAGGTACTATGTTAAGATAATATATCACATAAAAAACAAAAAATTTTGCCAAGCATTTTTTTTCTTTTTATAAAAATACAAATACATGTTTCGACCCGAAACCGCGGCCACTGGCATTGCAACTCAATGGATATGCCAAGGAGCCGTCACTCTTGGCTTTGTTTGTTTGTTTGTTTGAAGTTGTGCTTATGGACTGCAAAAGCTGATTACCATCACGTGGACTATTAGTTCTTCTTCAAATAAGTTCTTAGTTACATAGTTGGTACCACAAACAATTACAAAAATAATAATATAATAATTAACAATATGGACAGTTCTTACCTCAGGCAACGTTTGCGAATTATCCAAATGCAGCCCTCCAACTTCAACGAAAGCTGGAACTAATGGCCGTACTTCGTTTATACTAAAATGACTATTTGACAACACCAGGCTATAGTTCTGAGCTAACGTCTCCAGCTTAGGTCCCGGGCCAAACAGACGATCCGCTATCACCTGTAAAAAATATGTTATTAGTTTTTGCCGACATATTACTGTAATTAATAAAATATTGGTAATATATCAATCCATTACATTACAGCATATTAAAGTCCACTGCTGAACATAGATTGCCCAGGAAGGATTTTGCCATTATCCCATCCCGTCCTCTTATGATATGTACCCCATATTATTTTTTATAGGATATGGGTGACAAACGAGCACACAGTCCACCTGATGGTAAGTGGTAGCTGTGGCCCATAGACATTTACATCTATCCACGATTACGCATCAAAATGCAGATGCGTTGTCACCCATGAGCACTAAGATGGAATGCCTCGTTTCTAGTAAAAAAGGTCTCCGGTTCTCTACACTCCCCATACGAAACACAGCAGCAACCTTTTGTATTCAAAATTGGTATTCTGTGAGAGCGTGGTTCTTCCCCGGTCGAGCCGACCCATTCGTGCTACAACTATACCAGAAATATAGCTAAAAGCTTTTACAAAAATTTACTTCGCAAATATCCGCGTTATAAAATAAAATGATGTGTCTTACCTAGTATGAAGAAGCACCTCCCGCCCTCCCTCAATTGCGTGCACTATCCCCGTCACCACTAATCCCAGCACCGCTACTCCCAACACCACTACGATTCTTAGCGGTTAGCCACCGTAGAGTCTATATCACCTGAGGATGCCTCGTGTAGAGGCGAAACACGTGTCGTATTATCGTCAGTGGTGTGTCTTGCCTAGTGTAGTGGTGTTGGGAGTAGCGGTGCTGGGATTAGTGGTGACGGGGATAGTGCACGCAATTGAGGGAGGGCGGGAGGTGCTTCTTCATACTAGGTAAGACACATCATTTTATTTTATAACGCGGATATTTGCGAAGTAAATTTTTGTAAAAGCTTTTATATAATGGATTTCCGCAAAGTAACGCCTGATTCTATTAATTATAGAAATATAGCTGCAGAATGGCTCTACCACGTATAAAGTATATATTATCCTGTGGGTGTCGTAAGAGGCGTTAGAGGCATCAGCGGCATCAGCAGCATCAATAAAAAAACTGCGGTTGGCAACCCGTCTGCCAGGCGAGGCTACTAAGACAAAATCCCCCTATAAGATGAATCTATGACGGAGGCATATTTTCAGCAGTGGACTTTTGATAGGCTGAAATGAAACATTAGAGAATGTCAATAATAATATTATTTAATAAGATATAACATAATTTATTACCTGTGAAGGAATTTGTGATTTGTACTTGTACATAAACTTGGCCCACAAAACAGCTATCGTGTTGACTAATCGTTCCCAAAGAGACATATGCTGTCCATAACTCATCATATAAGCTGGTACGTAGGCAGTTGCTTCCGGATTTCCCAGTTGTTCATTGACCCAGGGTAGAGGCACGCTTGAAAGAATACCGACTACGGGAGCTTGAAACCTCCTACCGAAAGGAAGGAAACATTCGCTTCCAAACACTTCAATGATGACCAAGTCGAAGGTGGCCGTAGAATTTATTAGAGCTTTCACAGCAGGCAACTGTGATACTATTTCACAAGCCTGAACACATTCCTTCATAATCTGTTCCAAGTTGTGAATAAATTCAGGCTTTAAGGAGTTGTGTTGCTTCGTTAAGTTATTAGTGATCTCTGGTATTGTTCCCGCTAGGTTTATCTCTTCTATATTTGTTAGCTGATGTTTCTGTAACAATTACGTATTTAAAATTAAATTGTTTTTTAGGAGACAATGACAATTATTATTACATATCATAGCAGATTTATGAATTTCATATATTTTATTTTTTACTAGCGTCCGACCCTGGCTTTGCCTGGCTTGGATCTATTAATGTAGCGTTGTTTAGATAATCAAAGACCATGGGGTTGTTATAAACTAATTTGCTTAATTAAGCTTTTGCTTAATTACTAAGTACTTAGCGGCCAGCCCCCGCAGACTCTACTTCACCTGAGGATGCCTCGTGTAGAGGCGAAACACGTGTCGTATTTACGAGAGTGTTGTGTCGTGCCTAGTGAGGTGGTGCTGGGGGGATGGTAGTGCTGGGACTGACGGCGACGGGTATAGTGCGCGCGATTGAGGGTTTTAAGGGGACCTCCCCCCTTAAAACTGGGCAGGACACATCATTTTCTTTCTTTACGCGGAATTAAGCAAATTAGTTTATAACAAGCCCATTATAATGGAATTCCGCAAAGTAACGCCTGATTCTATTAATCAAAGATCATTTATTTTATAACATGTTCGTTTTTACGAAAACAATCTTCAAGTTTTTCTTCACAATCGGTTTGACAATTCCGAAGATTAGCCCAGACAGACAGACAGACAGACAAAAATATTAAAATGGTTTTTTCTGTCTTAATAGCATGCAAATAACCCCCTAAGCTTGATAGAAGACAGATTTTTCAATATTACAGACAGACATTTCAATTTTTATAAATATGTACAGTGTAAAGATAATTAATATTTTCGAGACCTATAAGCCCCATGGAAAAATGGAAAATGGATATCTATACCATTGAAGTTGGCCGCAGGTGTCCATGGACTGCAGTGGTCACTTACCTTCAGGTGAACTGTAAGCTCGTTTGTCACTTTAGTTTTTTTATGAAAAAGTGTCCCTCGCTGCCATAAACGTGTTTCAGATTAAACGTAGGACACTTCTTGTGTAGATGCCTAGTAAGTAGTAACTGGATGCGTAAGTGTAAAAAAAAATCTTGCCATGTGGCGCACCTTGCGACTGGCTGGCAGTAGACTGCCGCAAGCTGATTGTAATGATGATATTAAAGATGACAAAAATTATCTTGCTTATATCCGCTTAATGAAATAAAATTATGTGTCTTACCTTGTTTGAAGAACACCACCTGCCCTCCCTTAATTTTTTTTTCATAGGATAGGGTGACAAACGAACACACAGTCCATCTGATGGTAAGTGGTTGCTGTGACCCATAGACATATACATTTATCCTCAATAGAGTATCAAAATGCAGATTTTTTTTATAGGATAGGGTGACAAACGAGCACACAGTCCACCTGATGGTAAGTGGTTACTGTGACCCATAGACATCTACATCTATCCTCAATAAAGACTCAAAATGCAGATGCGTTGTCACCCGTGAGGACTAATATTTTTGCCATCTTTAATATAACGGAAAATAACGCCTGATTCTATTAATTATAATGATGATGATTTATCACCGGCAATTTCTTCGCGATATGGCTCACATTTAGATAATTTTCAGTTTTGTATTATCTTTAAAAAATGTACACAATATAAGGAACAATGATTTAAAAAAAACGTAATTTTGTATTGCATAATTTCAAAGGTTTATTGAAATTATGCAATATAAATATGTTAATTAATATAATATGGAATTCTATCTTATCATTTTTCTAATAAAAGTTAGTTATTTTCTTAACCGGTTCAGTGCGGATGGCACGCCAGGCGTACCATCGATTACTTTCGTGTGTGGCGTATGACACGCGAGTCGTGTCTTTTTAAAAATCGTTATAACTCGCTCAAATTGCGTTTTTGGAAAATTTATCCAGAACAAAATATTCATTATTTTGCAAGTAGTTCATGTCTGCGGCTTCGTTTCTGGATATATTGAAAATTTGAAATTTTTAGGGGTCGACAACATTTTTCATCGTAGGTACTCTTTTTACTTTGTGGGTTTTCAATCATGTTGTGGAAAAATAGTCTAATAAGTTACAAATAATAGCACTCATTGCGATCGCTCACAAACACAAGTAAATAAATTTCCGGAAAACAAGTCTCCTGTTAAAAAAAAAAACAATGCGTTTGTCTTATTGTTTAATTTTGCTTAAAATGATTGAACTGCCGTCTTATTACTATCATATGGCCGAATAGATCTACGAAGTACCATGTGCTCTTGTGATATGTTATAAGGTTTATTTTTGCTTGAAACAGTTTGAAACCGTTCATGCATAAAAACGTTCGCTAAGAAATAGTCTTTTGTCAAACCGCCGCCGTATAGCGCCGGCGTTTGTTTCCTTTTGAAAACACTTGTTTTACTATTCTTACTAATTAGACGTTTTCAGATCGACTTTACTTTTACATTTGTATAACATTAAATAATATTTAACATTTCTAAATATCAATGAATGATATACCTTTTTTTTTTCAAATTCCTTAATTTGAAAAAAAAAAGGTATATCATTCATTGATATTTACAAATGTTATTATTAGGTGAAAATTTAATTTAATAAAGACCAAGGTTTTCCAGGGTGATTTAGCTGTACCTACTTATATAAATGATTTTTTTTGTAAACCAAAAAAATAGTACAAGAGGTTTGTAATCTCTGCATAAAAAAAGTAACTTAGTCTCGATTTCAAAGAAAACACGTAGTTACCCACTAAAAACAAGTATCCTTCCGTTTGTAACTGATGTTGGCGCAATGGCGTTTGACACGCCAGGCATTTGACACTGTGGCGTGTCATGGAATATATCCATGACACGCCACAGCTAAAAGTTGTCGAAAATCAGTGCCGCAACGAATCGATTAATATTATAAGCTAGTGGTCGACTACTTATATTATTCCACACGATGGTAAGTGGTGCTGTAGCCGCACATGGATAAGCGCAGTGATTTAGTTTAACAAACTTTTTTTTAATAGGATAAGGGTGACAAACGAGCGCACAATCCACCTGATGGTAAGTGGTTGCTGTGGCCCATAGACATCCACATCCATCCTCAACAAAGAATCAAAATGCAGATGCGTTGTCACCCGTGATGACTAAGATGGAATGCCCCTTTTCCAGTAAATAGGGTCTCCGGTTCTCAACACTCACCATACGAAACATAGCAGTGTTAAGCTGCTATTTTATGCTGGTATTCTGTGAGAGCGTGGTCCTTCCCCGGTCGAGCCGATCCATCGTGCTACATCGATACTACTAATATAGCTGCAGTATGGTTCTACCACGTACATATAAAACCTATTCACTCTTGCTTAAAAGAAGCTTACGTTGTAATTAGATGGGAAGATAAATGCTGACAAATCATTCCACTCTATTGCTGTACGTATTACGAGATCGACGCGTTCACGCAGATCACAATCTCCCGCGTTGCTATGGAAACGAATGACGGACGTTTTACATCATATTGTTTTCAATTAAAATCACCACAATTGTGGCCAGTGCAGCGTAAAGCTAGTAGTAGCGCGTGCCGTACGATAAGCGATGCGGCAGACACAGGGTTAAAGGACACTACCGTACATGTAAGCCACACACGCTGCTACTCGTTGCTTCATTGATTATTATTATCACTAAATTACTTTTATCGTGCCTGTTGCACACTTAATGCATCGTCTTAATTATGAATAATAAATGCCAGTATTTTGATATAAATTATACTAGTACTTGTTACTCAATATAGAGTTATACTAATATTTTAAATTTAAACACAATTTGGTATTTTTTAAAGAAAGAATACTGGCGGTCAGAGCTTTTAACTATTGCTTTAATCCTCGCTCCAACTAAGCACAATGATCTTCTGCTAGTGATAGTAGTGTACAACGATCAATTGACGATTGTGTCCGTAGCATGCTGTCACCACTTGTTTAGTTGTTGTGTTAGTCTAGCTATACCCATTTTTTATATAGGTGAAACGTGACAAACTAGCCCACAGTCCACCTGATGGTAAATGGTTGTTGTGGTAGACTTCGTAATCGAGGATAGATGTAGACAACTACATCTATCCTCGATTACGAATCAAAGTAAAGTACGTTGTCACCTGTGGGGACTAAGATTGAATGTTTCGTTTCTTGTAAAAAGGGTCTCCTGTTCTCTACACTTACCATACGAAACGAAGCAGCGGTTATCTGCTACGCTGTTATTCTGCGAGAGCGTGGCCCTTCCCCGGTCGAACCGACCCATTCGTGCTACAACTATACCACCAATATAGCTGCAGCATGGCTCTACCACGTAAATAGTCATTGAAATATAAGATCCACTAGTATTACATACCGATTATATTTTTCAACGCCCCCATATCTTATTGACGCTGACGGTCTGCTTGCCAGTCTTTGGAAACTGTTTTCAATAACTTGAAAAGGAATTAAGGCGCAAGCAGTCTAAGTGGCAGACAGTCGTGATGACTGCTTGTCCCTTTAGGCGGTGAGGCGGTAAAACTCTTTCAGAAAACTGTAGAACATATATACACTAAGATGGAATACCTCGTTTCCAGTAAAAGGGGGTCTCCGGTACTCCACACTCACCATACGAAACACACTAGCATTAATCGGCTATTTTACGCTGGCATTCTGTGAGAGCGTGGCCCTTCCCCGGTTGTGCCAACCCATTTGTGCTATAACTATAATATACCTACAGCATGGCTCTACCACGTACAAAGTGGTCAACGTGTTGACTGTGTGACGACATAAAAGAATTCTTCACACCATTTCCTCCCGTGGATTTCGTAAGAGGCTTAGAAACGATTAAATATCTCTTAATGAATCATTGACAAATATTAATTTTATGCATCAAACAATTTGTTCTATCGTATGCATCTTGCATATTCGTAGTTTTCTACTATCTCAAATGCATGTCACGTAAGAGGTTCGTCGCGGCGCACTAAGCGAGCGATATCCCATCGAACGATAGCATTTCATTCATCACCAGTTAAATCTTCAATCTCAATTCAAGATTCTGACGCTGATATAGTGACGTTGCCTG